TTTCTCTCTGGCTGCCCTTAAGATTTTTTTCCTTCATTTCAACTTTGGTGAATCTGGCAATTATGTGTCTTGGAGTTGCTCTTCTCGAGGAGTATCTTTGTGGCGTTCTCTGTATTTCCTGGATTTGAATGTTGGCCTGCCCTACTAGGTTGGGGAAGTTCTCCTGGACGATATCCTGAAGAGTGTTTTCCAACTTGGTTCCATTTTCCCCCTCACTTTCAGGCACCCCAATCAGACGTAGATTTGGTCTTTTTACATAATCCCATACTTCTTGCAGGCTTTGTTCATTTCTTTTTCTTCTTTTTTCTTTTGGTTTCTCTTCTCGCTTCATTTCATTCATTTGATCCTCCATCGCTGACATTCTTTCTTCCAGTTGATCGAGACGGTTACTGAAGCTTGTGCATTTGTCACGTATTTCTCGTGCCATGGTTTTCGTCTCTTTCATTTCGTTTGTGAGCTTCTCTGCATTAATTACTCTAGCCATCAATTCTTCCACTTTTTTTTTCAAGATTTTTAGTTTCTTTGCGCTGGGTACGTAATTCCTCCTTTAGCTCTGAGAAATTTGATGGACTGAAGCCTTCTTGTCTCATCTCGTCGAAGTCATTCTCCGTCCAGCTTTGATCCGTTGCTGGCGATGAGCTGCACTCCTTTGCCGGGGGAGATGCGCTCTTATTTTTTGAATTTCCAGCTTTTCTGCCCTGCTTTTTCCCCATCTTTGTGGTTTTATCTGCCTCTGGTCTTTGATGATGGTGATGTACTGATGGGGTTTTGGTGTAGGTGTCCTTCCTGTTTGATAGCTTTCCTTCTAACAGTCAGGATCCTCAGCTGTAGGTTGTAGCTGTAGGAGATTGCTTGAGGTCCACTCCAGACCCTGTTTGCCTGGGTATCAGCAGCAGAGGCTGCAGAAGATAGAATATTTCTGAACAGCGAGTGTACCTGTCTGATTCTTGCTTTGGAAGCTTCCTCTCAGGGGTGTGCTCCACCCTGTGAGGTGTGGGGTGTCAGACTGCCCCTAGTGGGGGATGTCTCCCAGTTAGGCTACTCAGGGGTCAGGGACCCACTTGAGCAGGGAGTCTGTCCCTTCTCAGATCTCAACCTCCGTGTTGGGAGATCCACTGCTCTCTTCAAAGCTGTCAGACAGAGTTGTTTGCGTCTGCAGAGCTGCTGCGTTTGTTATTATTTACTGTGCCCTGTCCCCAGAGGTGGAGTCTACAGAGACAGGCAGGTTTCCTTGAGCTGCTGTGAGCTCCACCCAGTTCGAGCTTCCCAGCAGCTTTGTTTACCTACTTAAGCCTCAGCAATGGCGGGCGCCCCTTCCCCAGCTCCGCTGCTGCCTTGCCGGTAGATCACAGACTGCTGTGCTAGCAATGAGGGAGGCTCCGTGGGTGTGGGACACTCCCGGCCAGGTGTGGGATATGATCTCCTGGTGTGCCTGTCTGCTTAAAGCGCAGTATTGGGGTGGGAGTTACCCGATTTTCCAGGTGTTGTGTGTCTCAGTTCCCCTGGCTAGGAAAAGGGATTCCCTTCCCCCTTGCGCTTTCCAGGTGAGGCAATGCCTCGCCCTGCTTCAGCTCTCGCTGGTCGGGCTGCAGCAGCTGACCAGCACCGATCGTCTGGCACTCCCCAGTGAGATGAACCCAGTACCTCAGTTGAAAATGCAGAAATCGCCGGTCTTCTGTGTCGCTCGCGCTGGGAGTTGGAGACTGGAGCTGTTCCTATTTGGCCATCTTGCTCCGCCCCCCTTAAGTCACGTGTGTAAAATTTGACCTCCAGATTTTTGTCAGCACTGGATGAATCAGTTTCTTCCCAAACTCTGGCTTAAGCTCTGAATCACTGATCACTAGTCTGGTTGGGTAGAGTCCAATACATTGGGACTCAGCCATCCTTTAACTCAGTGGTCCTCATCCTATTTGGCACCAGGGACCAGTTTCATGGAAGACAATTTTTCCATGGACCTGGGAGGAGTAGGGGTGTGGGGATGGTTTTGGAATAAAACTGTTCTACCTCTTATCATCAGGCATTAGATTCTCATAAGGAGCACAGAACGTAGATCCCTCACATGCGCAGTTCACAATAGGGTTTGCGCTCCTATGAGAATCTAATGCCATGGCTGATCTGACAGGAGGCAGAGCTCAGCTGGTAATGCTTGCACACCTGCTGCTCACCTCCTTCTGTGTGGCCTAGTACCAGTCCGTGGCCTGGGTTGAGGACCCCTGTTTTAACTCATGAAATCACATGGATAACTCTGATTCCAGACTTCAAATCATTGCACATTAAAAAGAAAATTTTTTACAATCATCTTTGTTAAAAAAGTACTGCAGATAGGAAGAATGACAATATACTTGAATGTAAACATGGTTTGTCATATATATTGGTCAAAACAAAGCACATATTTACTGTTCTTTAGCTACAATGTTAGAAAACTTCCATTGCATGTATTCCAGCCTGGAATCTCAGTACATGCTTTTCACTGTCTATGTGCAAGATTATTTTAAGCCCACTACATTTTAATGTTATTGCTGCAGTTATAACAGACATCAACTACCAATTAGAATAATGTTTTATTTACTGTATATATCAAGAAAACTCCCATTTTAAAATGGCAAAAATGATCTATTATATCTCAATTACATTGCAATAGGATACTAGCTAATATCTTTCATGATAAAATCTAGAGTAAATCAGTTAAATTCTCAATCTTGATAATTTTAAGATGAAATAACCCTTTTTTCTCAAATTTAAATACTTCATATTTAGTATATTTGTGAGCTAACAATAGAAATGCATACCAAATTCCAGGGCAATGTTTTCTTTAAGCAAAAAATTAAGCCTGAATGTTGGCACCTGTAGAAAGTAAACAGCTAGTCCGGGCGCAGTGGCTCACACCTGTAATCCCAGCACTTTGGGAGGCAGATCACAAGGTCAGGAATTCGAGACCAACCTGACCAACATGGTGAAACCCCGTCTCTACTAAAAATACAATAATTAGCAGGGCATGGTGATGTGTGCCTGTAATCCCTGCTACTTGGGAGGCTGCAGCAGGAGAATCACATGAACCCAGGAGGTGGAGGTTGCAGTGAGCCGAGGTTGTGCCACTGTACTCCAGACTGGGTGACAGAGAGCCAGACTCTGTCTCAAAAGAAAAAAAAGTAAATTACTATGGATTTTGGCCTGCTATATCTCTGGGCAGCTCTTGCAGTCACATTTAGTCATATGAGTCAAAGCTCATATTATCACCTTTGCTGTCTTTCTTCTTGCCTACCACTTCCCTCTTTCAGCAATGATGATAATTATAATAATAGCAAAAATATAATATAAACATTATATGAGCATTTTAGCAGGAATTGGATATTTTCATAAATAGGATTTCTGAAAAATTGAACTTTATTGGCTAAAATAAAAAAGGCTTAAATATTTTTGATGGAAATATTTATAAAATTTGTATACATTCAGTAAAATTTATATGAAATATAAAAAATAATTATATATTATCACCATGTTAAAATTAATGACTAATTGCTTCGATTACTAGAACCATTGGTACTCTGGATTTATTTATTCATTCACTTATCCATCCATTCATTCATCCATTCAACAAGTATTTATTGAGTATTACTATATCCCAAGGACCATAAAAGGAAGGAGAGATACAGCAGTGAACAAAACATACAATTAGTGCTGTCCTGATGGAGCTTGAGTTCAAGCTGGTATGCAGGATGTTTTCCTCTGCAACAAATGGGCCCTGACTGCTGTGGTTTTAGTTGTTCTGTTTCCTCCCTCTGCTGTCAGCTGTCACCTTATCTCTCCCTTTTTATCTGTGTTACAATTGTAAGTCTTTCCCCAAAGCATCTCTCTAAGTCAATAATAGACCCTATCCTTGGATGGAGCCCAAGTAGTTCCTATGCTCACAGTGTATGTGCTGCCTCTGGCCCTTGCAAGGAGTTCTTTTATCCCTACTCTCAGTGTTTGGCACAAACATCTTCCTTTGCTCCCTTTCATCATTCATGTGCTCAGTTCTAATGATCTGATTCAATTCTTAGGCCCAATGGTCTCTGCGCCATATATATGCAAATGGGACTCTTAGAAAAGTAGCCATCACCAAGTGATATTACATTCTAATATTGCAATACAAAACATGATCTTTCTCATGACTGTGGTAGCTTTTCCTGATAATTTTCTGAACCGCCACCTATATGTAAAAAGACAGGCACCAAAAATTTCAAAAGGAAAGGAAATCAATTTCCCGTTACTCCAGTGTTTTGCTCATTGCTAAACTGCCTGGTAGGAGTGCAGGGACACAAGCAAGAATTCTGAATTGCACTTAAGGAAATGGTAGTAACTAAGGTGATAAGGAATATCTAACACTCATTCATAGACTCATCAGATGTTGGAGTTGAAAGGGGATCACCCTGTGCGGTAGGGAAGCACGGTGGTTAAGAACTCCAGTTCTGGGGCCAGATTGCTACACCTCTTACAATTGTTTGACCGTGGCCTGGCATCTCCGTGCTTCCATTTATTCATCTGTAAAACAGTTTGCTTTTCACAGGGTTGTGAGGATTAAATGAATTAATGCAGGTAAAATGCCTGGTAGTGCGTCTGGCACACAGTGTTAGCTATTATTATCTCAATCTAGTCATATATTTTTACAGATGGAAATACAGTCCTAAGATTTTAACTGAACAGCAAATTAGAAGTAAAACCGATGCCAAAACCAGGTGTCTTGACTCTCACCATATTACAGATTTTTTCCCCTGATATTGTGCTTTCTTAATAAATGGGAAGAAATACTGAATCATGTAAATGGTTATAAAATGACTACTCAGTTATATATAAGTCCCTCTTCCCCTCTAAAACAGAAATATACAAATACACCTTTGCCCATTGCTAGTCCTCCAGCTCCCAATGAGCAGGATTAATTCTCTAGAGGCAAGTGACAGAGCTCAGGAAGCCAAGAGAAGTTTAACTGTATGCACTAATAAGGAAACCATCTTCTTCCTTACCTTAAACTTGTCAACTTCAGCTTTTGAACATGTTGCATGATATGATAGCACCTGATTCAGAAGAAAAAAATAATTTTAATAACTATACATGACTGTATTTTTTGAAATTCTTCTGGCTTAAAAATAAGCTTTGCTCATGTATATCACCTTGATTTAAAGGTGGATTTTAATGTATGGCAAGATACAACCTGTCTAATAACATTCTCTGACATAATTCACATATTAAAGAATATTTTATACTGGAATTTTTCTATAGGTAGTTATTTTATGAAAAGGACAATGGCCAGGTGCAGTGCTTCATGCCTGTAATCCCAGCACTTTGGGAGGGCGAGATGGGCAGATCACTTGAGTCCAGGAGTTTGAGACTAACCTGGGAAACATGGCGAAAGCTTGTCTCTACAAAAAATCCAAAAACTAGCTGGGCATGGTGGTGTGTGCCCATAGTCCCAGTTATTCGTGGAGGCTGAGAGGGGAGGATCACCTGAGCCCAGGGGGTCGAGGCTGCAGTGAGCTAGGATCATGCCACCACACTCCAGCCTGGGCGATAGAGTAAGACCCTATCTAAAAAAAACAAAACAAACAAACAAAACAAACAAACAAACAAAAAACAAGACTTGATGTAGCTCAAAACTATAGTTCCCAAAGGATGTGAATACTTGTCCTGTGAAATGCTCTAAAAGCAAATGAAAAGCTAGAGCATGTGTGTGTGATCTGTAGCAAACAGGTTGATGACTCAACTTCCATTTCCTCACCTATTCTCATTTGCCTGCTTTTATTATATTAGGAAAGATTATATTGATATATACATCTGTGACCCCTTTTGTAAGAGGATTGTGCTTCCTTGCCCTGTTTACATCCACATTGGCATGTGACTTCTTTTGGCCAATGGGATGTGGGGAAAGTAACAAATGCCACTTTTGAGTGTGTCTTCAACAGCAATCACATGGTTCTGCCACCTCCTTTTTCCCTCCGCCATGGGAAGGGCATGGCCTGAGAGGGGCTGATCCTTCAGTCTGAGCCCCCAAATAAAGAAGACATATTGAGCAGAACTGCAGCCAACCTGCAGCTGATGACATATTATGTGAGTGAGAATCAACTTTTGCAATTTATCTGCATCAGAACTCACTGATACAGAGGCTTAAAAGTAAAAACCCTAATTCACAGGCTCCCTGCAGCTGGGGGTGGTCCTACAGGGTTGCCTTTATGCCACTGTGTTGGTCAATGAATTATAAGTGGGAGTGTTGGCACTGCTTCTTTCTTTTTTCTTCCTTTGTGGAATACAGCTGTAAAGCCTGGAGGTGCAGCAAAATCTGGTGTGTATGAGGTGACAAGCATGGTAGTGAATGCCAGCTTGCTGTGAACAGAACAGAAAGGAAAAGAGAAAGGAGCCTGACCCTGGGCTCCCCTGCCCCAGATGTCTTGTTGTGTGAGTCAAATAAATGCGCATTGGTGGTATTTCATAAGGCATATTTACAGACATATGGACACTCATACATAAATAGCATATGTATGTTATATGTTTTATGCTGCCAGACACATTTTTTGTCGTTGTTTTGTTTTAGAGACAGGTCTCACTCTATCGCACATGCTAGAATGCAGTAGTGTGATCATAGCTCACTGAAGCCTTGACCTCCTGGGCTCAAGTGATTCTCTCATCTCAGCATCCCAAGTAGCTGCGACCACAGGCATACACCACTATGCTCAACTAATTTTTGTATTGTTTTGTAGAGACAGGGGTCTCATCATGTTTTCCAGGCTGGTCTGAAACTCCTGGGTTCAAGCGATCCTCTCGCCTCAGCCTCCCAAAGTGCTGGGATTATAGGCATGAGCCTTCGCGTCCAGCCTACATTCTTAATCTATACAAATCTCATACAAATAAGTCTGGGAAATGCTAACGCCTTCTTCATCTATCAACCTTAGAGAATCACAGTGCATATTTGGCTGCAAAAAGTAAAGTAACATGCTTCATTTCATTAAACTTAGTATTTCCCAAATCTAATTAGCCACAGAACTCCCTTTTAGGTAACATCAAACTGGTAACATTCAACCTAATAACCTATTGACCGAGAACTTTGAGAAGCACTGACCTATGGCACATACCGTTTGTGTGATACAAGAAAAGACACAATAGAAGCAGTGTCTCAGGGTGGTTAGAACACAGCCTTCAGAGTCAGGCTGCCACACCTCCACTTCCAAGCCCTGGGAGCTTGGGCAAATGGTTTAATCTCTTTGGGTCTCATATACAAGGTGGTATAGCATAATACTACACAGGCATCTACTGCTTAACGTAGAGGCTCCTCCTGAAAACACTAACAGGGAATCTACTTTTAATTATTTTTAATTGGAAAAAAATTACAGTGCGTTATAAGATCTGCAGCAACTTCTTAAAACTCAACTAAAGCACAGTAAAATTCATAGGTATATATAAAACAAAAAATAGTGTTATGTTATAGTTACTTAAAATGTTACTTTCTGTGGGAGGCTGAGGCGGGTGGATCACCTGAGGTCAGGAGTTCAAGACCAACCTGGCCAACATGGTGAAACCCCATTTCTACAAAAATACAAAAATTAGCTGGGCGTGATGATGGATGCCTGCAATCCCAGCTACTCGGGAGGCTGAGGTGGGAGAATCGCCTGAACCCGGGAGGCGGAGGTTGCAGTGCACTGAGATTGTGCCATTGCACTCCAGTCTGGGTGACAGAGTGAGACTCTTGTCTCAATAAATAAATAAATAAATAGTATTACTTTCTGATCATAACTAATATAGTTATTAACAAAAAGTTTCTTTCTGTTAAGTAATACTTTCTCTTCCATTGTAAACATTTTTTCTTACTGACTTTACTTGTTTTTCCATAGTTTTCTCAATCCTTTTTCACCTTTGGGAGGGGACTCAGAAAAATGTTGTACTGAGAGATAAATATGTTCTATGAGGTGTGGTTATTAAAAATAAAGATATATTCTACTGGGAAATTTTAACCATGGAAATATTCTATGGAGTGGTCCTGTACTTTACAGAGTTCTTAGGAAGATTAAATGCAATACTACATGTTGAATACATGGCACACAAATAGCCAACTTATATGTATTGTATTAATATTCAATTAAAATTCTACCAAATAAATATTTGGCTGGATATTATATCATTATCTTATAATATCAATAGATATTTCAGTGCATAGATGAATTGACTTTGCTCTTTTGTTTCAGTTTTACTGCGGTAAAATTTAATTTGGCTGTCATTTTATTAGAATTTCTTACTGTTTTCAAGTCTATTTCTGCAGATTCACTCTTCAAACTTTACCTTTAAAAAATATCCCACAAAAACTCAAGCTGCAATTCAAAATCTCTGCCACCAGGTGGTGCTTAGTCAGGTTTGTTTAAATCAACTCTTCCCACTTCATTTAAAAAAAAAAAAAAAAAAGCTATTTACTCCACTAAATTGAAACTATTTGAGTCAGTGAAGCAGACAATTATTACAGATTAAGACTTTTTGCTCATTTAAAATTACAATAGTTTGTTTTGTTTGTTATTGAGTTGTAGGAGTTCTTTGTATATTTTGGATTCAAGTCCTCTGTCAGACATATGTTTCATAAATATTACCTCCAGTCTATGGCTTGTCTATTAATTTTCTTTTAATGTGTATTTTAATAAATAGAAGTTTTAAATTTTGATAAAGGGTAATTTGTCAATTATTTAAATTGCTATTGTTTCACATATTATTTCTTTCTTTTTTTTCCAACAGAGTCTCACTCTATCACCCAGGCTGGAGTACAGTGGCGTGATTTTGGCTCACTGCAGCCTTGACCTCCCTGGCTCAAGTGATCCTCCCACCTCAGACTCCCAAGTAGCTGGTATTACAGGCACACACCACCATGCCCAACTAATTTTATTTTTTATAGAAACAGGGTTTCACTATGTGGCCCAGGCTGGTCTTGAACTCCTGGATTTAAACAATTCTCCCTCCCAAAGTGTTGTGATTACAGGCATGAGCCACTGTGCTCAATCTCACATATCCTTTCTAAAATTTTTTTCCTGCCCCCGAGTTGTGAATATATATGTTATGCTATCTTCTACAAACTTTATAATTTTATCTTTTATGTTTATGTCTATGATACATCTGAAATTAAATTTATGTATAAAGAATAAGACTTATAAATAAAAGCTTTGGTTACTTTTTCATGGTTCTTAAATTTCATGGGCCACATCTTAGAGCTAAAGCTTTTTTGGATTGGTATCCTGAGATTTTAAGCCTCTGCTGGCTAATCTATTAAGTACATAGGAATTTATTTATTCTACCTAATTAGATAAAGTTAATGATAAGGAAGCTTTTGGTTTACCTTCTGAATCTTCTTGTTTCTCAGAGTTCCTGTTTCCTTTTGTAGGACTGTGAGAACCAGTAGAGGTGGGAGAGAAATGCTTAGCTAAAGAATCCTTCAACTACCTTCTCCCAGAAGAATACAGTCCATGTTGGCGAGCAGGAAGGAATAATTGGCTAACAGGAGTACACTGTTTTGAAGGACTGGGCCCTATTGCTAAACCACAGTCCAGGAAGATGGTAGCATTGTTCCTCTAAGAATCCCTAGAAAGACCAACAAGCCAGAGGAGTGGATTCCTTAAGGTAAGAGACCCTTAAATCTTGCTTAAGAACTCTGATTTTCTCCTTTTCTGTTTGGTCCTATAGGATTTTCTGGGATGCATTCAGCAAGATGGTGGTGTTTCACTTTACCCACAGTGTTTGCAGGTTTTATACACCGGTTACAGCGAGAACCCAGTAATATTTGTACCTCTTTCATGTATTGTATCAATTTAGCCATCATGCAATTCTGACCTGATGTAAATACACAACCAAGCTAGGTTTTTGTTTAGTTCCCAGCTTCTTGTTGAAAAGTCTGTGACCAAATGTAATCACCTTGCTAATTTTAACAAGCATCTACACAGGCTATTGTGGTCACATAGGACTTTTCCCGATCACCTATGGCCACTGGCCATGTCCCATTCACTCCTCAATCTGCTTCAGTTTTGGTTCTGCCCCCACCTCTCCACTGAAACAG